ATCGTCAATAAACAGCCCAGGGTCAGTTCAGTGGGCAGGCAGAGGCATCGTCAATAAACAGGCCAGGGTCAGTTCAGTGGGCAGGCAGAGGCATCGTCAATAAACAGGCCAGGGTCAGTTCAGTGGGCAGGCAGAGGCATGGTCAATAAACAAACAGGGTCAGTTCCAGGGTCAGTTCAGTGGGCAGGCAGAGGCATCGTCAATAAACAGGCCAGGGTCAGTTCAGTGGGCAGGCAGAGGCATCGTCAATAAACAGCCAGGGTCAGTTCAGTGGGCAGGCAGAGGCATCGTCAATAAACAGGCAGGCCAGGGTCAGTCAGTTCAGTGGGCAGGCAGAGGCATCGTCAATAAACAGCCCAGGGTCAGTTCAGTGGGCAGGCAGAGGCATGGTCAATAAACAGCCCAGGGTCAGTTCAGTGGGCAGGCAGAGGCATGGTCAATAAACAGTCCAGGGTCAGTTCAGTGGGCAGGCAGAGGCATCGTCAATAAACAGTCCAGGGTCAGTTCAGTGGGCAGGCAGAGGCATGGTCAATAAACAGTCCAGGGTCAGTTCAGTGGGCAGGCAGAAGCATCATCAATAAACAGGCCAGGGTCAGTTCAGTGGGCAGGCAGAGACATGGTAATACAGGGAAATCACAGACAGCAGGACACTGTAACAATATCTTCCCTTCTATGTCACTAACAATAATGTAGTGTAGAGATGTATGATGGACGAGGAAGTTCTCTCCAATACAGAGGCCTGGCTGGGGGGGGACATTGGGGACAGTAGTATGGGGTGTCATGGTGAATTCTGTTACTGAAACATACTGGACATTTTCTTTGGGGTTGGTGTCCTGTTTGGGTCAGAGGGAGGATATCGAGGAAATGTCTTTCATGAAGTCTGGTCCCTGAATAGGAGTGACCTTGTTCCGGGACATGGCTATCTGGATAGAGAAGGGTTGTAACAATGTCCTCCTGGTATTTCAGGTATGTGATGGGAGTGACTTTTGGGGGTGGGGGGACCCCTGTGTCAGCTCATGATCCCTTCATTATGTTTAGCCCACCCTGTGCCTGTTAAGGGGTACAGGGTGTGAATGTCATTGTATTGTGTATTGGTGTGGGGATTGTTCACTGCCAGGTGGTTGTCCATTGTTCTCTGCCATGTGCTACATCCCATTGTTCTGTGTCTTGCTTGGGTGGGGGGGGGGGTGTTTCCTGTAGTCCTTCCCACTGATGGGGCGGGCTGATGATGTGTTTCCTGTTCCTGGTTGTGTTTCCCCACCCTGTGTATATAACTTGTGTTTGTGTTAAAATAAAGGAGTTGACTTCCTGTTTTAAGAAGAACCATGTGCTGTCTCATTTCCTGCATGATCAGCGGGTGGTGTCCGGGGATTTGTGTTTGAAAAGGGAAGCTGCAGTATAACGGAAAATACCCAAGTGCGGTCTGGGTTCGGTTCCGTTACAAGGTAGGATAGGGATGGTTGTGTGCACTTACAGAAGATGACAGAAGAATTGTACGGGGATAACTGAAATAGATGACAACCTTTTTATACCAATAGATTGGTCTCCTGGGGGTGAAGTAGGGCTGTAACATTTGGTCATTCATATCCCCCATGAACTGGTTCTAGTCATGTATGCACTTGGGGTTTTTGGACAGGACCTTGTCTTGTAAGGAGTTCCACCGAGGTGTCCTCATGGATTGAGGAAAGGATATAGACATCCCTTTTATCTCTCCACTTTAGGTCTAGTATCTCTTCATTTCACAAACTGGCTGACTCTCCCCTTTTGGGTTTTGTGGTGACCAATCTTTGTGGGAAGCCCTTGCGGATGGTCTGTGCCATCCCACAGATCACAGTTGACTTGAGATAGAGATGGTGGAATAGTGGGTGACTTGTGTGAATGATCTACATACAGATGGTGACCCTTCTCGAATAGGTTCTATAAGTTGCCAACAACAATTCTGCCACTAGTCCCCATATAGGTAGGACATCCAGGGAGGTCTAGCTGGCTCTCCTTTCCCTCATATATTTTATAGTTGTAGGTACATCCCGTGGCCCTGTCACATGCCTTGTAAAACTTTACCCCATATCTGGCCCATCTGCTGGGGATGTACTGTTCAATGCTCAGTCTTCCCGTGAGGTGGACAAGGGATATTGATCCACATAAATATTTATGTCGGGAGTAAACATTTCTGAAAACATACAAGAAAAAAAAATTGAGTGGCCAAATTTTTAACAGCTTGTCGTAATTTATTTCTTTAATATTTTATTTATTTCAGGTACTTATATAGCGCCTTCAATTTACGCAGCACTTTACATATATATTGTACATTCACATCAGTCCCTAACCCTCAAGGGGTGTACAATCTAAGGTCCCTAACTCACATTCATACATACACATACTAGGGCCAATTTAGACAGGAGCCAATTCACCTACCAGCATGTCTTTGGAGTGTGGAAGGAAACCGGAGTACCCGGATGAACCCACACAGGCACAGGGAGAACATGCAAACTCCAGGCAGGTGGTGCTGTGGTTGGGATTCGAAACCCACAACCCCAGTACTGCCAGGCAGAAGGGCTAACCATTTAGCCACTGTGCTGCCCATAATTAGGATGATTTTGAGGAGGGCACCGGGTATTGTCATGTAAAAACCTCATTATCATCTCATAGCGTGTTCTGGGCATACAAGAAGAATAGATGGCATGGGATGTATGGACTGAGTGGACCAGTAGGCATGGACTTCATTTTTTTGTCAGTCCCATATTCAATGTAAGTACAAGCAAAACTGCTTTAAATTCCTCCATAGTGACAGCTTTCCACACAAATGGATGGAGATACGATAAATTGGGATTGTTGGCAATGTATTGGCTGGCCATACAGATTGCACCGATCCACAATGTAATTCAGCAAATCATCATCAAAAAATAAAGGAAAACAATAAATTGGGGTAACATTTTCCATTTCTATCTGAGGGTCTGGCTGCACTGTAAAGGGGGGATTGCAGGTTCTGCCGAATCAGTAGGAAGCCATGTGGGATTTAAAAGCAAGTCTTAGAGGTTAGTGTGGGCCCTATGTCATTGTGGATGGGACCCCTCGCTACTGGTACCCGGCCTATCACCTGGGAGGGCTACACTGCTTGTGCTAGTCACTGCACCAGGATTTCTAGCACTGCTGGTGGATGCTGAATGCTCCTCAGATCACCGGAATCTCTTTGTTGTGACTCTCCATCTCAGAATCCAATACTGACCCAATGCTTTCACCTGACTCCTACTCAGAATCTGGGTCTGGCAGTGAGAGCTATCCCTTCTACTCTTGTCCCTCATACTCAGTATCTGGAAGTGCTCACTCTCCCCTCCAAGGCCGCAGTTCGATCCCACAATTTCTGCATATCTTGACGCACCAGGGACAATTCCATCCTCATCCCCTTCACCTCCCCAGTAAGGATCGCCACAGATGAGGCGCATGTAGTGACTGCAGAAAAAAAATCCCTCTAAGTGTGAGTTCAGGATTATCTTCAATAGGAGCAGCAGCCTGTGTCCCATGAGACTGGGATGGTGGGATACTCACTGCGGGACTGCAGGATGGGATCTCTCGGGCTGCCAGTGCAAGAGGGATCAGCGTACAGCCTGCACAGTCTAAATTCGGATCAGTATCGGATGCCAGGATTGGACACTCTTACACTGTGACAAATGTTGATTGGACACTGGTACACGACAGATGTTGATGGGACACTGCAACAGATTTTGATGGGATACTGGTACACTGCAACAGATGTTGATGGGATACTGGTACACTGCAACAGATGTTGATGGGATACTGGTACACTGTGACAGATGGTGAAGGGACACTGGCACACTGCAACAGATGTTGATGGGATACTGGCACACTGCAACAGATGTTGATGGGATACTGGTACACTGTGACAGATGTTGAAGGGAAACTGGTACACTGTGACAGATGTTGATGGGATTCTGGTACACTGCAACAGATGTCGATTGGACACTGGTACACTGTCTGTAACAGATGTTGATTGGACACTGGTACACTGTGTGACAGATGTTGATTGGACACTGGTACACTGTGACAGATGTTGATTGGACACAGGGAAACGTGATAGATGTTGGTGCACACTAGGCACCCTGGATGGATAACAAGCAATAACAATGCTGTATAACTCACTGATCCCTGGCTTGCAGGCACAGATCGGCTGAGGAGGAGAAGGAGAGCTGATCAATTAAACACAGATCTGTGCTTACATTACATGATGGCTGTGAATGGACCTAGCCATCATGAGATCAGATGGCCCAATCACAGAGCCCATCTGCTGATCAGGGACACAGGCACCCTTGGAACATGGTGATGGACAGCCATACATCTATGCTCCCCCATGTTCTGAGGGACGTATGGGTACATCCACACAGAACCGAGCTTGTCCCACCTGGCCTATTATATACAGTGTCCAGGAGAGAAGCCGATAATTAAAACAGTGATTTCCTATGATGGCCAGCTCCATCTAGTGGTGATAATGCTGTATTTTTCCTGAAATACCTTCATAAGGAAAGCCACTAGATGGAGCTGATGATCAGAGGAAATCTCTGTGAATTGGACCGACATTTGTCACAGAGGGGCGAATTCTGGTCACATTTAATAAACACAATTTTTAAAATTGACCTCTAAGTGTTTGTGAAATCTCCCACCACCAAATTGTACTCAGCCAATGACAGGTCAGGAATCAATTTTTATTCTTCTCCTGCCATCAATGGCCAACCCGGTCCCACACTTCATCCACATCTTTGGTGACCTCTGATCTCCTTATCAACTGTTTCTTCAATGATGAAGATCAGCCCTGAAGTATATCTGAGGTGTATATCAGGATGTGCTTCTTCCCCACATGAGAGCTGAGATGTCCAGCAACATTCATCTAGAAGACATTTCCCGCACTCAAGGCACTACTACACCTCCAGGGTTGTGTGGGATCCCTGATGTACAGGAAAACAGGACTTCATTGAAGAACATTTCCCTCACTCAGGACAGGAAAGTGGCTTCTCCCTCATGTGGGATCTCTGATGCTTGTAAAGATATGACTTCTGTGAAAAACATTTCCCACACTCAGGACAGGAATATTGCTTCTCCCCTGTGTGAGATCTCTGATGTCTGGAAAGATATGACTTCTGTGAAAAACATTTCCCACACTCAAGACAGGAATACGGCTTCTCCCCTGTGTGCAGTCTCTGATGTGTATAAAGACTGGAATTCCTTGAAAAAAATTTCCCACACTCATGACAGCAATATGGTTTTTCCCCTGTGTGAGACCTCTGATGTCTGACAAATTTTGATTTTTCAACAAAACTTTTCCCGCACTCAGGACAGGGATACGGCTTTTCCCCCGTGTGAGATCTCTGATGTTTATAAAGAATGGACTTTCGTGAAAAACATTTCCCGCACTCAAGACAGGAATATGGCTTTTCCCCAGTGTGAGATCTCTGATGCTGGACAAGATGTGATTTTATTACAAAACATTTCCCGCACTCAGAACAGGAATACGGCTTCATCCCCGTGTGAGATCTCTGATGTATGGAAAGATTGGACTTTCTTTGAAAAACATTTTCCGCACTCAGGACAGGAATGTGGCTTTTCCCCTGTGTGAGATCTTTTATGAACATCAAGATCAGATTTAGAATGGAAGCATTTCCAGCACTCAGTACAGGAGAAGCTCTTCCCTGTTGGAAGGCCGGCCCGGTCCCGCACAGTCTGAGGTTCATCAGGATACGAGGAATCCAATGGTCCATCTACACTGGGTGGTGCCGGATGGACATTGGAGGGAGCCCGGCTTTCTCCTGGACTATACTGTGTGATGTCCTCATCTTCTACTTTCCAGTCTGGAGACAAAGTGAGACAATCCTCGGAGGTTTTCCTCATCTCCCGGCCATGGACTAAAATACAAAGACAAAGAGGATTACTAGAAAGGAGCTGATTGGTTTCCCCAAACCAGGACTCCGCCCACATCAGGCAGCTTGGTCTTCGAGGAGCTTACAATTCCACCCTCAAGGGAACTAGGAAATGGCTCCTCTGATCTCCTACCAGATCATTTCTTTATTCATGGACCTTAGTCAGAGAGTGAGGAAACAACTAGAACTGTCTTTTATAGGAGGGACAGTGATGAGGGGATTATAGGACGAGGGTCCCCACCCCCTCTATCACTCATCACCATCTTCCCAACACAAGACGTACTGCACTTCCTTATTTAGTCCATGATTTAGTCATGAAGAACAGCAGGGCTGAGCCCCACCAGAGGTCAGAGAGTGGGGATGGGGGGAGAACAACCAAGATGAAGACTGTAATACATGTGAATTTTATGGTATCCCTTGAATAATCCAATACAATAAGGCTATAAATAGCATAAAAATACACTTTCCCCAAAAAAAGTATAGAAAACTGTGAATATAAATATGCTAATACCAATATTCCCAAAAGTATATATCACACAAATGTATTAAAAAAAAAAAAAAGTCATACAACAATGGGGACAATGGACATCCCTGTCTAGTTCCATTTGACATCCCAATAGGTTCCGACCTCTCTCCATTAACCATGACAACCGCTGAGGGCTCTCTGTACAACTTTCCTATCCACTCTCTCATTCTTACGCCAATTCCTAGAGTCTCCAGGGTATCCATCATAAAGCCCCAATCTACTCTATCAAATGCCTTTTCAGCATCGATCGAAAGCACTACTACCAGGATTTTCCCCTTCCTAGATTTCTGGATAAGCAACAGAGTTCTCAACCCATTATCTCTGCCCTCCCTTCCTGGAACAAATCCTACCTGATCCCCCTGGATCCATTCTCTTTTAGCCTATTTGCTAGAATCTTTGTGTATAGCTTAGTGTCTATGTTCAGAAGTGATATCGGTCTATAGCTAGAGCACTGAGAAACATCTTTCCCCTCCTTTTGTATCAACACCACATGGGCCTGTAAAGATTCCCATCTCATCTCCATCTCTCCTCCCAGGGCATTCATATATTTCTTCAATTTAGGTATTAACAAGTCACTGTATTTTATAGTACTTCACTGTATAACCATCTGGGCCTGGGCTTTTCCCCGTCATAGTACTTTTTAATGCTCTTATTATTTCCTCCTGTGTAATTTCCAAATCAAGGGAATTCAGTTGATCTTCACTTAACTTTGGTAGTCCTGCGTTTTTTAAATATTCCCATCTTTTCTCTCTTCTCTCATTCCCGCTTATATTTACTGGATCTTGGGAGGCAATATTATACAGCTTACTATAGTATTCTCTAAACACCTTAATGATCTCTTTAGTAGAATAAACCATTTCCCCCTTTGGGGTTTTTTATTTTCTCTATATAGTTCCTATTTTTATTTTCCCTCAAGGCTCTCATTAAATATTTTCCTGGTTTGTCTCCCCATCTATATCTCTCACTTGCAACTTTGTTGAAAACTCTTCTCTTCTCCTCCTCCATCAGTAGCTCTAGTTCTTCTTTCTTTTTTATTACCTTCTGTCTTATCTCTTCTGATCTTTTACTTTTATGTATCTGCTCCAAGTCAAATATTTCTTTTAGCAACCCAGTAAGTTTTTCTCTTCTTTCCCTTTTCTTTTTTGCCCCGAACGCAATCAATATACCTCTTATATAGGCCTTATGGGACTCCCATACTGTAGCCACCGACACCTCCCCTGTCTCATTCACTTGAAAAAATCTTTCAATCTCTTCTCTAATTTTCTGATCCACCTCCTGATCCAGGAGAAGAGCCTCGTTCAACTTCCAACCTATCCCACCTGTCAATCGTCTTCCCCACCTCACTTTCAGTGTAACAGGGGCATGATCTGAAAGGGGCATCGCCTCTATTTCTGCTTTATCTACCATTTTTCTATAAGTTGATGATCTACCAATATATAGTCCAATCTGGAGTACATCTCGTGTGCTTTGGAGAAGAAGGTATAATCTCTCTCTTTTCCATGAATCACTCTCCAAATATCCACCAGTTGACACTCCTGTATCACTCTCTTCAGGATTCTCAGAGCTCTACCTCCCTCTCGTTGCACAGAAGAGGTCGTATCCATTTGTGGATCCATACAAAAATTCAAATCCCCTGCCACTATCAAGCGTCCCTTCTTAAAGGCCATCAGTTTTCTCAAGACTCCCTTCAGATAAGCTTCTGGTCTTTTATTTGGGCAATAGATATTCGCAATTGTACATTCCTGCTCTTGTAGTCTACCCTTCAAAAACAAAAATCTCCCCTCAGGATCTACCTCTCTCTCTTCTATCTCCAGCCTTACATTTTTTGCAAGCCCTATTGCTACTCCCTTAGCTCTCTTGATTGGGGAATCCGCATAAAACCATGTTGGGTAATTTCTAGAGTACAGCTTTATATTTGACTTTATCTCAAAGTGTGTCTCCTGCAAAAATACCACCGAAGCCTCTCTATGCTGTAGCTCCTTGAATAGTTTAAATCTCTTCCCAGGACAGTTCAATCCCTTTACGTTATATGTTATAAATCTTAGATCTTCCATATGTTGTATATCCCTGTTTTTTTTTTTTCCCCTTCCATCATGTAGAGTGTTGTCCCTAAAGCCCCTCCCTCCCCTCTCCCAATAGTCCCCTCAATCCCTTTCCTCGCCCTCCCCTCCAACCCCGTCCATCCCCCCCCCACTCCTTCCCTCCCTCCTCTTTTTAGGCCTATGATTTGAATAACAATCATTTGTGGAGATAATATCCACCTTTGATTTAATCCTTAGGGCTTCACTCCTCCCATGGACAACTTCCCCTCTATCCGAACCCCCCATTGACCCCCATTCTACATATACTTCTCAGAAAGAAGGAGTTAAGCTGGAAGCATGACGAAAGAGAAGGCGAAAGAGGAAGGGCAGGGAAGGAGAGAAGAAAAAAAAAAAAAAAAAAGTTCAAATCCTCTCTCCTCTTCCCTCCCCCTCCTCGCCCCCCCCCCCCCCCCCCCCCCCCCCCAGTCGCCACTCCTCCCCTCTTTTTAATCTAAATCCCCCGGATTCTTCTTCTCAACTACTAATTTCAGTTCTTTGTAATTCAAGTCTATCACAAAAGTTTCTCAAGTCCTCTGGGAACCTCAAAAGGGCTGTTATTCCATTCTTCCATCCTATTAAGCACTCCGGTACCCCCATCAATATTGCACCTTCTGTTTTTTCATCTGTTCCAACAAAGGCCTCAGAGCTCTCCTCCTCCGGAGAGTCTCAGATGACAAATCCGCATATATCTGGATATTCATTTCTCCATATTTTATTACTGGCTTTCCCTTAGTTTTCCTCCAGATTCTTTCCCTTTGCTGAAGTTCAAAAATTTAACCAGTATATCTCTCGGCCTATCCTTCTCATAGTTCCCCTGGGGTTTCCCATTTCTAGAGATTCCTTCTATATTAGTCCTTTCCATATCAGAGTTTCCCGTTATAAAGTTCAGTATTTTGCAAACCGCCTCATCCAGTTTTTTTCTCCTTTTAGACTTTCCGATACCCCTCTTATCCTTATATTTCTCCTTCTATTTCTCTTCTCTTGGATTTCCGCCTTATACTGCAGTTTTTCCTGAACTTTTTCCATATTGATTATCTTCTTTTCTAATTTGGAAATAATCTGGGTCTGATTATTAACTTTCTGCTCCGCTTCTTCCACTCTTAACAATATCTGCCCCAGGTCATTCCGAATATTTACCATTTCTTGCTTTATTATTCTCTCCAATTCTTTAAACATTTTTGTCATCTCTTTTTTTATTTGGAATTTGTAGATCTTTTTCCAACTCTGATATTTGTTGACTAGTGATATCCAAATCCATTGACTGTCTAGGACTATTTTGCAGATTTAGATCTAAATCTCCTTTATATCGCTTCTACTCTGGGGCCTTTCCGGGGTCACGTTTCCCTGGGATGTATATTTTTTAATTGTACCCGTTTGGGTCCCTTTAGGTCCGGTTCCTTTTGCACTTTTGTTTTTCATTTCTTCTATGTCTTTTATTTTTCTCCGATAGACTTGTGTTTAAGAAGAGACAGTTAATATTATATGGAAGTCCCAGCCCTGTCCATTCACTTTTCTTTAAACTTTTGCCTGCACATTACATTGTTCTCCTTGTTTATATTCTCTGGGGGTCCCCCCCTTTTTTCCCTCTCACTCTCTGTTTCCCCACCGACTGAAATACAGACTTTATGTGTGAAGCCACAGCCAGACTCACTCACCCTCCGCCGATAGGGCTCCAGGGGTAGGTGGCCATCCGACGCTTCAGTATCTCTCCTGCTCCCTGTCAGCCTTCGGCCGGCCGGCTTCCCTGCTTCCCAGGGATGCACCGCGGCTGGTCACATGTCCCGGCCGTGCCTCTTCGTCTTCCGGCAACCAGACCCAGCGTCCCAGCCTCTCTCCGCTGCTCTCCAGCTCCCTGGCTCTCCCTCCCACGGGCCACCGCTCATCCAGGGAAGCCCGCCAGGCCGAGGTAAGTCTCAGCCATCTGGAGCTCCATACATCTGGGGGGATTTGAGGCCAAAGGGGGGGGTCGGTCAGAGGAGACTCGTGCGAGAGCTCCTACCACGAGCTCTCCGCCGCTGCCATAGTCAGGCTCCGCCCTCTGAACCAA